TTAGACTGTGGTGGCCAACTAGTTACAGAAGCTTTCCCATAACACAAGAGGTCACAAGCTCAATCCCTGAAGCTAAACTCCTACCACACACACAGACGTACACACTGTCCAGAAATAACGACTGTCACATAGAATACAGTTTAGAAGAGACCAATCGAAAGGGGAAAATTTAATTTTTGTTTAGACGAATACTCGTAGTGAAGTGAAATCCAAACTTTGCCCATGATATAAAACACAAAGCATTTATTTTCTTTTGTGTCCATACTCTGATGTGTCTGTCACATCCATTAAGTTTTCTAACAGACTTTGAAACAATAACCAGTCCAAAAATCGGAAATGTTGTTCGAGCACAGTCACAAATTGTTGCCTCCCTACATCAGCAGCACCTGTGATTGCGGGCATGAACTTAAACTTCCTCTGGCCAGCCCTTGCCTTCAACATACACCCCTTACTGCTCAGGGGGACATTACATTGGAAAGTACAAATATGTGGCCACGATGTGTGTTTTTTAAAAAAGGAAGGGGTATATAAAAGAAGAGTATTTCTAGACTCTTAGACCAGAGAAACCATATGCTCCCCATTTTCTCTGTCTAGATGAAAGTCTGTGTCAAATACAGACACTTTCTTTGCCCACAGGAAGTGGCACATTACAACTAAAGTGCCAAAATACACGTCTACGAGACAGCAGGCACATCGAGAGCCCTGCCCAGAGGACGGTAAAGCTAAAGCCAAATTTGAGAGGCAGTATTTAACATTGGACGAGGAAGATGATCAAGAAACGTTTCACATCAATTAAAATTAATCGAGAGGATTCGCTCAGGGCAGGAGAAGAAAAACGGGAGGATTTTGCATCTGGTGCCACAGTGATGAACGTATAATAAGCAAAGTCACAGTGTCGAAGAGGCGCCATACTTTCCAAAACGTAGGAGACTATTCCTCCAAACACTTCAGTCAATTCTGCACTCAATCTCTATTGCTCTGGTTTCTTTTACCTATTGAGCGACTTACTTTGAAAGTTTCTGTGCTCTAGCTCAGTGTTCGTATTTACTTTCCTTTAATTACCCAATCATAATCAACACTTTCCTCACATATTTAATCTTCTTTTAAATCTTCACTGGATGCGTTCACTGTGCCGTACTTGAAACTATTCATTAAAAAAATCTTGCTCTCTTACACAAGCACAATAATAGCCGGTTTGGAAAGTCGTGGGTTGATGGAGCCGGTTGATAACCACCCTTGTGACACAAGTGAGATTGCCATTGTTGGGTTTTGTGAAAACAGCTACTGCACAAATGCCCCAATTTTGCAGAAACTGCGTCATGAGACAGACTCCAGGCCTAAACAGGACATGATTTTTTTATCTCTTTGGATTAAGCCCTCATCATCATCATCATCATCAGATGATTGGTTTCAAATGATCCTACAGTGAGCCTTTTACTGATGACGTGTGGCACAATACCAGTTCCCGAAGCTTAAATCTTTCAAATAATTACTGAGCTGACATTTGGAGCCACCAGCACGCGAAGCATTTTATGTCAGCTTTCAAACATACTCGTATCATAAACGTACCAGAAGAAACACAGCAACAGAGAAATAAATATAGATAGAGGATTTATTTTTTTATTTATAATGTGTGTTTGTGAGAGAACATATCATCCTTTAATCTAGCCTGTTGATGATTGTAGCACCAAGATTATGATAATAATCTTGCTCCCTCATCTTGCACCTCATGGAATCTGCCGCGTTATTAAATCTCGTGTTGATGTTTCGACATACGTTCCCCTTATTTTTAAACCAAAACCACCCTGTAAAAATTCCAAAAGCTAACGGAGATCACAAAAGTGTTTCTGGCTGAAAAAACATGACAAAATCACAACTCAACACCGGGAAACGACACTCGACACATTTGGTTTCCAGTTGGGAAAGTGTCCTTAAGTGTTCCTGTTCTGTCAAACAGCTGAAAAAGAACCCTGAACAAACTATAATGTATAATCTCTGACTAGTTGCACCGTCGAGCACTGTAATTATGCCTACAAAACACTTTCTATATATAAACAACAATAGGCAGTTAAAGTGGCTGTTATGTCAGGGCGTTCTGGTGACTCAGTGTGCAGACGAGCAAAGCCCATGCGCTTGCGTTATTGTGAGTTTGATTCCAGCAATTGAAAGCTTCAAATAATCTTGAAATTGGTACGACGGACCGGCAGCAACCACTCAAGGCTCTTACTCAAATGTTGGTTGATGCAGCTCAATTGTTCTTGGTGCACTGGAACATAGCCCACCTGTACTCAACTTGATCAGAACAAGTTTCCTCATCTATGAGCCGCCTGCTGAATAATTTAGATGAAACTTCAAGACAAGCCAATGGTGCCAGCTGTGAGAAAATATGGCCCGAAGCCCCTTTTAAATTGATGCCTTAAAGATGATACTAGGCAAGTTTGCATGCAGAAAAATAACGTGATTATTGTGAATAACCAGAATATGAAAATAGTTCATTTTAAAAGCTCTTTGATGGTCTAAAAATGTACGGGTCAAGTTACTGACTGGAGGATTATGCCTAGAGGCCAACAGGAAATATGTAAAATGCAGACAGAGCAAAGCAAGACAAGCAGTTGGTGGTGTTTGAAAAGGGTCTTGTTATTTTCGGTGACAACAAACACTAGATGGGTGTTTTGTTATTTTGCCCGTGGTTCCTCCCAACAGCAGAGGACTGTGGTTGTAGTCTTAGGTCGGAAGTTTTGAATAAGAAGAATGGCTGTGCTTAAACAAGAACCCACACTTTCCCTGCCAACTCTACCAGGAGAATTTAGATGTAGAACATGGAACGTTGGCAGTTAGGGGTCCCTCAATCAAAACAATAACAAAAGACCTAGTTTGAGAACATCATGAAGCTGCATGGAATCATGGGATTGGTTGTCTTCACCATCACGACCAATACAAATCTCCATGATGCGACTCCGGTGGAAATATGATATGCAGCAAATGGCAATGAATAACTGATCCATTATGAGTCACCAATACAAACAGTGGGAGGAAAAATGAGAAGTCCTGTTACCTTGAATAAAATAAGGGATTTCTCCGAGTCGGGATATTGTTGGAAACAAGTCAACAAAATATATATAATATATATAACATGGGTCGAGTCGTTTTTAGGCACGTTGATTAAGAACTGTTACATATTATATCTTTACAGTTGAGATGTCGCAGCAGTCACGGGAAGAAGAATTTGTAAGAGTAGAGAGCAGTTTTTATTTCTGGTTACATGCATTAGGAAATTAATCCACTGTAAATAAGCGACTAGTCCCAGCTCCTGTTGGTGTCTCCACCAATGACTTTGTTAGTCTGATTTTTGTGCAACATCCGCTACCTCCCTGTTTTCTGAAAGACACGCTCGAAGACTGGGCAGGGCAGGTCATCAACTCAAACTAGACCCATACATGGAGTTCGGCATATTTCAGGATTAGTTTTGTCCCTAATTTTGGACAAAACCACCTGTCAACTTCTGTAGCTTTTATTCAAAGTGTACCCGATAGTTGATAAAGCTCCACTTTTAAAGCCAGGACAAAATGTTATGAAATGGGCCAAGAAAGAATGTTGCAAGCTCCAGCAAGCAGCTTACTTGAAGTAGGAAGTGAGGAGAAGGCTCTGTGTGTGTGTGTGTGTGTGTGTGTGTGTGTGTGTGTGTGTGTGTGTGTAACTGTAGGCAAAAGGAGAAAATGTTTCTATTCTGACACTGATTAGCCTCTTTGCCTGACAAATCACAGTACAATACAATAAAATAAATCAAAACACTGTTGCCCGACCTTGTTAAACTGCAACTGGTGCATCTTTAGCTTTACTAACAAATCAATAAATCCAAACTTACATAGTTGCAGATGGAGGTCATTAATGTGTATGAGCCACCCAGTTAGCACAATATTCCGGAACATATCCTCATCAAACCACGAAACTAAAATGATCGCACGCTGACACATGTTATCAGAGAAGTGTCTTCCGTTTAGTGTCTATTTCTGCTGTTTCACAAGCCAGGGTGAGGTCCTATTTTGAGTCTATGGTTGATACACAATGATATCTAGTGAAGGCACGTGTATGACTGCTGGTTAGCAGTCAACATAAGGCAAACAAATATATGTTTGAATATTAATGTCTCTTTTTGCAGCTCAAAAGACACAGTTAATCATGCTATATTCTATGGAGTTTATATTAACATTTACACTATGTGACCAGGCAAATACAGTCAACACTACACTAAATCAAGCTTTTACAAAGTGTTCAGCTGTTTGGTTTATTATGTGTTTACGGTATTTTATTGAATGGAACATTAAGAGGTGATTCTATTATTCCGCTCATCCTGATTATGTCAACTGGGGTGGACTTAAATCTGTGTGCTCAGCCTGAAAGCTGCAGGTAAACTGAATTTAGGAAATAGAGGTTGGTAACGAGGCAGGATACATGTGACCAAAGCTTATCGGTATATTATTAACTACAGACATCCCGTCATCCTAATAATAGACCATTATCTACAGTGATATTGATGGCACAACACTGGAGATGCAGCTTGGTCTGTGCTTTTAAAAAGATCAGAGAGGACAACACCGGATCCTCACACTCAGGCATGGTTTACAGACACTTTAGCCTTGCATGCTAAGCTAAAGCTAACGACGCCAAGTTAAAAAAAGAAACGAGCCTTTTGGGGGGGGGGGGGGGCGTGAATGTGTCCCTCGTTTGTTTATGTTGTTTGTCTCCTTATCGTTTAAAGACACGGGAGCCGGTGGTGTTTCTTGCGGTGTGTGGACAATGCTAGGCCGCCATGTAAAGCCTGGAAAAATGGGAGGAAAGAGGAAGAGGGGGCAGTGTGGCCGCCCCTGCCTCACCTCCTGTGGGATACAGGGAGGCAGGAGGTGGAGGGGGGGGCGGTCAGCATGATGGGGAGAATGGAGGTAACAGAGAGATGGAGATTTTAAAATGAGCTCGTGTGGATTTATTTTGTTTGCACCCACCATGAAGTCGTTGCCGAAGTTGTCCTCTCCCCTGTCCTCGTCCCCCTCGCTCATGGCCTTCACCCCCTGGATAAACTTTCTCAGGATGCCGGCTTGGTCCATCCTCCAGTCCTGGTTAGCCTTCTCCTCCTCCCCAAAAAAAATAAATAAGCTAATAGCCCTCCACAGAGAAACAAGGGAGGAGAAAACGCAAAAATAAAACAAGAGAAAAAAAGAAAGGGGGAAAGGGAAGAGAGGGGGGGAATAAATAAAAATAAATAAGCTTCACGGGTCCCCCCAGGGAGTCATCGTCGGCTCACAACACAAACACCTTGTTCTTCTTTTATCATCGCCCCATGTTGTTTCTCCTTCTTTCTCGGGGCTGTTTCCTCGGTTAGCGGCAGCGGTTACTCCCGGAGAAAAACAGCGGCGGACGAGGTTTCTGCCCCGCGGAGAACTTCACCGCCGAGCCGGCACGTAAACCGTGAACTAACGGTGGTGTACGCGGATAAAAATGTAAAAAGAAAGGAGTCAGAGTGAGTCCACCCCTCCCTGTTCACCTCGCTGCCACATTCACACACTGCTGCTCGCTCGCGACTGAGCAACATCCGGACTGGGCAAAGCCAACGGGAAGCACGCCCCTCCTCTTCCAGCAAATACCACCCTCTGATTGGACGGCGGACACCTGGGATCAGAATGTCATTGGCCGGAGCGGCTGTCGCTCCACATTACAGCTGCATCTGATTGGATGGAATGTCTGTCGGTTTTTTTGACGCAGCTCCGCCGAAAAGAAAAGTTTTAATGGATATTTATAATAAATGAGAGTTTACGAAGAAATAACTGAACCAGTGAACCACTCACACAATACGTTGCTGTTTGATTAAAAAAAAAATCTACATCTAATCAATGTATTATATTAAATTGGGAAATTCCACATCCATAAAGTCAAATGGTCAAGGTCTCTTCCAATTTCATGTTAAGATATATTATGAGTCCATTCAAATCATTTAACAATCAAGAACTTAATTTCACCTTTTTGTTTACTTATTTTTATTACAATTACATTTTTTTATTCTGTTTTATTTTGAAAATGTATATAGCTATAGATATAGATTGCCCGTGTTTGTAAGTAATTGAATATTGACTAAAGTAATTCAAAACACAGTATATTACATTATGTAAATCATCATGTTGTTACAGATCATATATCATATATAACACAGTGTGTTGTATGCATGGCTTGAACGAACTCCTACAGGGGCCTGGGGCAAATATTTGCAGCTGTCCCCCTGTAAACCCCAAATGTAAGTTTCATGTGCTCATCTTCATACATTCATCAGATTATATTATACTCTGTTGGAATTAATTCCTTTGTTTATTGACAGAAATGAATCATTAATCTTATGATTTATTTATTCCTCTCACAATCCATAGGTGTGAATGTGAGGGTGAATGATTGTATAAGTTGGCCCTGCGATATGCTACTGACCTGTGTGGGTGAACCCCACCTCTCAGCCAAAGACCTGGCAGGATAAGCAGAATACATAATAGGATGGATTATATCCTGTTTCATTAAGCTGGTAGCTCTACTTAAGTCTAACATGTTAGTAGGAAATATTGTCAGGAACAGATGAATTTACTTCCCCTCAAATCCAAACCCATCCGCTCTCATGTCTCACAGTATTAGTTTTTTTTTTTCAAAATAAGAGCTTACATTAAACCAGAGGAGGACATCTCGTTCAAGTGTTTACTTGGGTAACAGTAACAATCACACGGCAGGATGTTCTTTGTCACTGTGGGAAATGTTCCCTTCCGTGTTACAGTAAATCACTGATGCATTCATGTGAAAGTATTTCAGTTTTGTAAGAGCTGCAGGTGGCGCTCTGTGCAGTTCCTCTCATTGGGGGAGGATGAGTTTATATATAAATATATATACGAATGTATAAAGGCATCTGTAGATAGGTAGATAGATGGCGGGTTGGAGGGGCAGATTATGTGGAGCGCAGAGTGTAGAAGCAGATAACAGCCAGCAGATTAGTGGGTCAGATATATCATCTGGATTAAGATATTACCAGAAATAGAAACAACCAATTGTATCATGTAACATCTTGACTCATGGTCACAGAGGAATGTTTGGAGTTCTGCAAAACAGAATGAGACAGAAATGAAGAGCAAGACTAACAAGGAAGTAATGATATCATTTGTATTTGCAGCAATGTTAATATAAGGACTCATAGCAGAAGCGGATTAAAATCAGTGTTGCATAATTAATTTTTTCATCCACTTCATTCAGATGCAAACAGAGAAAGCAAACTGTGTTCTGGATGTAGTTGCTTGGAGGCTGGGAACTCCACAGACTCTTATGCATGATTAATTTTCTCCAGTAAACACACACACACAAACACAAACACACACACACACACACACACACACACACACACAACGGAAGAAGAGGACTCGAGTCACTTTATTTTCCTTTAGTTCTAGTGACGACAAACAAACCCATCTATTCAGGCCGAGCGAGAGGGAGAAGGAGCGGGACGCTGTGGCTGAGCCAACAAGCCTTTCACACAAACAAACTGCTTTCTCTTGTCTTGAAGCTCATTGGGCTTGTTATCCCAGTAAATATTTTATGTCGTCTTCTTTGCTTTCTTTTTCTCCCTCCCCTCATATTTCTGTTCTGTCCTCAGTTAGCACCAGACATGAGAGACTCGTGCAGGTGACGTCTGAGAACAGGATCTCCCTTCTTGTTTCTTTTCTGTTTCTCTCTTAACTGATGCAAACTCTGTAAGTGTGTGTGTGTGTGTGTGTCTGTGTGTGTGTGTGTGTGTGTGTGTGTGTGTGTGTGTGTGTGTGTGTGTGTGTGGCAGCAACTAATAATTATTTTCACTTTCCGATAATAAGATGATTACTTTTCAACTGATCGACTAACTGATTGATTGACTTGGTTCAGTGCAAAATGTTTTTGTGTCCGTGTATCAGTCTGATCTCAAACCTAAATAAATGTAATAATGTTTAGTTAGTGTTTGATATTATCATCATTTTATCATCATCTTTATCTGTGAGTTTCTTTTTTTAGCTGTGCAGTTGTGCGGCTGAATCATTATGTGTGTCTGTGTTTTGGCAAGTTTTGTATCTTCCCTCCAGTTCAGTGGAAACAGGTCAAGCAGACTGAGGAGCAGTGTGTGTGTTCTTGTGTGTGTGTGTTTGTATGGGGAATAATATATTAAGAGAGACCTTGTGGCCCTCTCCTCTCACTCACTTCCTTTTCTCATCACTGGCTCTGGTTTGTGTGGACTGTATCTGACCCTGACCTCTGACCCCTGTGAGGAGCAGAGGGGGAGTCAACTGAGCACAGACAGCATGACATGGATCAACTACATTATTTCCCAATACTATCATGAGCAATCCCTTTTTACTTCCTTTACCATGCTCCTCTGCCCATCCTTCTTCACTCTCTCTTCCATCCTTTTTACTTCTCCTTCTCTTTTCTCCCTCTTTACTCACCCTCACTTCTCTTTCTATCGCTCTCTTGCTGGAATGTGGTGTTCAGAAGCAGCTGAGAGGAGGAATGTTGCTGTAACAAGCCCATACACAGCCCCTAGGGAGGGAGGCTCCCTGCACGCACACACACACACACACACAAGCGAACTGTTACTTCACAACGTTTGTGTTCTTGGACTTCACATGTATGTCTACATGTAGAGGGCAGAGCGTGAAGCTGCATGTATAAGAACATAGCAGGATGAGTATGTTCACTGTATCTGGACACAAACACACACTCACTCACAGACAAACACACACACACAGAAGACAGAGGGAGAACGTGAGTCGGCCTGTTGCAGTAATGAAGTCTGGTGAAGATGTCTCCCCTCAGGGTAGAGGACTGACTCAATGACGTGTTGCACAACTCATCCATGCTCCCTGACTCTGTGTTAGACACTTACAAAATGATAAGAAATAAAGAGACGGTTCCCAGTCAAAGGAAAACTCTGATATCAACCAACATGAACACCTCGAAACAAATGAGGGAATATCTTCATGCAGGAAGAATGTGCTCATCCTTCTAGGAGAGTTCCAGACACTTTGATAATTTATGTTGTTATGGAACTAAGACGTTTTCTGATGGTTTTCCTTTTATTTTGTCTTCTATCCCTGTCTGGAACTGACTGATGGAAAAATACAGAGAGAGAGCGAGAGGAAAAGTGGAATCTGGCAGGAGCGGAGTCTGGAGGCCCTAAAAGTGTGAACGTCACATCTAATACCAAATTCATAGAAGTAGAACTTTTGTTTAAATCTGCAAAAACAAACATAGAGGTCTGATCTGGTGTGACTGAAGAACACAGTGTGTGAGGGTGGGAGCTGTGGGCAAAGTTGACCGGTGAAGGCACGGCTCGGCCTCCCTCTGCATGCACACACACATGCACAGCCAGACACTGGTGGTTAGGACGCTGTCAGATTTAGACACATAATTACTGTCCTATCTTTTGAGGATTGTTTGTATATGTGTGTCTGTTTCAGTGCACCGTGAGGGTTTTACATGGAGGGGGGTTTATGGACACAACCTAACTGACTGCCCATAGAAACAAGTCTGTAAACAACACTGAGAAATGTTTCTCAATATTAAATACTCAATCATGTATGGGATAAAATAAATAGTAAATCAGTAATTTGACTGTGCCACTGAGTGTCTGTGAAACTTGACAAAACCAACTTTTGTTATTTACTGGCGCCCCCTAGTGGGCAAAAATAATTGGTTCATTGTGATCCAGCATCACAAATGCTGAAAGGGAAATTCTAATCTCATGATTTGTACTGTATCACACTGGTATACATGATGTATACAGTACAGAACAGTTTATAAACCTGCTTTGGAAAGAATGAGGGTCAGTTGACTTCACTTGTGAGAACACAGGAGGTCTTTTGGTCCTGTCTCACAGTCACAGCACAGTTCATCCCCTCAAGGGTCTGGAACCATAGATCTGCTCTCAGCCTCTTTAAGAGGTGGAGTCTGGACAGGCAGAGACCCTCTCATCTCTTCCCTCACAGTGAAACATCTATCCGCTCTCACAGTGTCAACAGTGTGACAGCAGCTTGGGAAACCTGTGAAGACATGGCTACTGAGGACAGGGACGTCAAGAGAAAGAAGTTTTACAGGACGCCCAACGCAGGACTGTGGACTGCTACAGTGCTGGTGATCATATATATAGTAAGTATTTTACTCATTAGAAGATAGGTAGATAGATGATGATGAAATAAACTTTGTTACTTTCCATCACTTTTTAAAATCTCTATTAAGAATAGAGTTAGGTTCCTATGGTAAATGGTTGCTATGGTAATGTTGTTTTCCAGGTGTGGGTTGTGGTGTTGTCCATCTTGACAGAATCAGGACATCTCCTAAACAACCAGAGCTTTGAATGTGGGAACAGTGAGGAGGTAAAACCACACAGGCGTCTTTTACATTGGTTGTTTGTTGCTTCATAAATAATATATATATATAATACATAAGAGAATAAGACAATAATCTAAGAAGATTTTAAGGATTTAAATGTGTCTAAATGTATTTTGGTTCTCACAAGCTTGTTATGAGTGAGAAACTGAAATAGATAGTATATTATTTTTATTATAGTTAAAGTTTTTGCACACAACATATCTTATGATATATAAATTAAGGGGCGATTGCACTGTATGTGTTTCAAAACCTTTTGTAAGATCATAGACAAATAAATAGACAAATGGTTAAGCAGCAGCCACAAATATGAGATTTTGTAAAAACTGAATACATATGTATATATTTTTTTCATCGAGATTTGATATTCAGACCTGTCGGTGTTGATGTGACTGTGGTTGGTTCTGCAGGATGAGTCACGGCTGAACGAGGAGGCCTCACTGGTGTTTCTGTGGACAGGGTTGGCTCTGCCCGTCTGTATCATGCTGCTGCTGAACATCTGGATAAAGCGGAGCTTGAACATGTCACTGGTATGTACCTGTGTGTGTGTGTGTGTGTGTGTGTGTGTGTGTGTGTGTGTGTTTACCCAGAGACAAAACAGCATTAAACTCATGTTCCTCTCTTTCCTTGTCACAGTTCCAGCTTGTGATCTTTGTCCTGTTTTTGGCTATGACCATTTCCTTTGCAAAGACTTGGGGGAGAGAGAATGAGGTGAGTAAATCCCATTTAGCTTCTGTAGCTCATAAGACCGATATACGGATTATGGTTTAGCTCGATGCTGAAAATATTAGAGTCGATCTACAACTCCATCTGCAGAGGAAGAAATGAAATGTGTCTTAAAGCTCTGGAAAAAGCAGACCCTGCTTTTCAGAAGGACATAGCGTGTTTAAAAATTGACCTGTGGGTGAATATAAAGTTGGGCTCAATAGTTTTGCAGCTTGAAAATAATTGTTAATTCATTAATAGTTCATTAATCTTTGTATTTGCCTGCAGGAAATAGAAGCATTTAAAGAGCGCTACCTGGAACTGATCCCTCTGACTGACGTACCAGGAATAACACAAACACCCCAGAATGATAAAAACTGTGCCATGCTCAACAACGTTTACTGCTGGCAGGCCGAGGTAAGGAAATTAGACTAATTTATTGTGTTGAAAAGTTTCCTAATATGTTCTTACAAGTGTGTGTGTGTGTGTGGGGGGCCCAGTTTAAATGTTGTGGACTTAAAGGCTATCAGGACTGGGGGGCTGTGATCCCAGATTCCTGTTTGTGTGAAGGAGAGGACAACAGCACTGGATGTGTGAGTCATTCGCATTTAAAACTAAAAAGTATCAGATTTTATTAGTATTAGTAATAAACTCCTAAAGTTTTTCTGTCTGTTTTAGGTTGGAGTTGGAAACAGCCTTATTCACGAGAAGGTAAAATGTGAACAGTTAAAACTTGCCAAGTTGTGATTTGTAAATATGGGCAATACACATAAAATTTGATTGATTATTTGGTGACTTTTTTAGTTTAACTGTGTGTGTGTGTGTGTGTGTGTGTGTGTGTGTGTGTGTGTGTGTGTGTAGCCTTGTCTCCCTACAGTCCTCTCCCTTGTAGAAAAACGTAGCTCCACCTTCTGGACCATCATGACAATTTGGGTAAGAATGAACACATTATAATTAGACTCAGATGGATAATTAGACAGTTAACTGTGTGATTGTGTGTGATCTCTTATGTTATATTTGTGTTCATGCGTTGTCCTCGGTGTTGTAGACTTTCGAAGAAAACATTAAAAAGTTTTAAAAAATGTATCAGTGAATTCAGACAAATATAACTTTTCAGATTACCATCATCAGTGTTCCAGTTTCCATGACTGTGCTCTTCATGATGCTTTGCAGTTATTGGGTGAGTAGCTACAAAGACATGAACGTAGAATGTGACAGATTTGGTCAAATCTTAACATAATGTAACAAAGCGACACTTCTTCTTTGTGTTGTCAGTTGTTGTGTGAAAACTGCTGCTACGCACTGAGCGTTTGGAAATACAAACTGAGTGGAGGAGAGGAAATGATTCCAGTGGTGTTCATCAGAAAGGACAATAACAACCAGCCTGAGGGAAAGGGGAAAGAAGAGGAGGAAAAAGAAAGCAGCAGTAATGGCGTGGTGTTGGTTGTGGAGGACGGGGGAGGCGAGGAGGGTGCCGAAGTTGTTCTGGTTGAAAATGCAATGACCATGATTCCTCTGTCTGGGCTGAGGAGGCTGCAGGAGGAGCTGGAGCCGCCTCCTGTCCAGCACCAGGTTCAGTGTCTGTGCATCATCTCCAGAAAGCCCAGGAACTTCTACACGGTGATGATAGAGGAGGGCTCACTGCTGCTGCCCGCTGACGCCATGCTGGCCGACGCCAACAAACCCACCAGGTGTCTTTGGGCTGAGGGACCCCACGTTTTCTCAGTGGAGGACATTGTTTGGCCGAGAGAGAGAAAAGTGACAGGCAGCCTGTCGTTGTAGTGTGACACTGTACAACACTGTGCACACTGCAAAACATCAAATCCAAAGAATTGTGTAGGAGGCACAAGATGCCTTTTACTAAATATCTCAAGTTCAGACAACTTACTTTTTAAAAGAATAACAATTAATTTGAGAATTACATTTTGGTGGCTCTCCACTACAAGGATACAACTAAAAGTACACATCTAGAGTACTTATATATGCACAGATGTCCACAGCAGCGGAGACATCCCTGTCCCTAAACAGCCTCCTGTGTCTTCCTGCTTCAGTGTTTGATACGCTATGACCGCGGTTAATGCGTGGGACTCGGGTCAACAAAATAAAATGATGTCAAACTTACGGCCTTGTGCCGGGAAACGCTGGCATGTTTAGATGTCGTCGCCTGGCAACAAGCCTCTGGTTTCCCCTAAGCTAATCTAATAGGAGCAGAGCCGGAACCTCTGGCTGACGGCTGCCAGTGTAAACAGCAGTAAATCACCCTGAGCCTGTGGCCTCAGGAAATACAGATAGTATTGATCGGATCACTGCAGGCTACAAGCTCACATGAGATTTCTCCAGATAAAACACTGAATACACACTAAATATGGACTTTTATACGCAGAGCACATTTAAAACTAATACTCAGATCCCAACAGTGGGCATGCAAAAGAAAAACATTTAGTTTTTAAAACATTTTAGTTTTAGTGACACAGTTTGCTTGTGGACGAGAGGACAAACTGCAGAGGATAAAGCTTGTTTTGCAAAATATCCCTATTTGTGTTGACAGGGCCTTACCCCCCCCCCCGCTTCACTCTCATCACTCATAAGTGAAAAGAAAATTTAAAAAGCAGATAAAGAGCCAAAGATTTCACTGAGGAGTTGGTGAAGAACAAATATGGAGCTAAAAGACAGTGAACATTAGATTTCTATTGATCTATTGGGAAACAACATGACTCAATTTATTGATAATGTTGCTCCATAGCTGCCGGATGGAAGTTTGTAATTGTTTGTGTGTATCTGTTCTATGAATCTTACTGTGTTCATCTCTATTAAACTGCTTGTACCATTTGTTTTTTGTAATCACACCCTCTTGTTTCTCCGCTGATTTAATAGACTTAAATAGATGATTTATAGAGATTGTTTTGTGCCTCCCACTTTCTGAAGGGATGAAAAAATGAGACCGTGTCTGCTTCCCTGGTTTGATCAAAAAATAAATAAATGAGTGGAAATATATCCTCAATCACATTTCAAGTTTCTTTTAATGAATGCAACAAACTACGTAATTATGGAAAATAAATGTTAAAGGAGTAACATATTTAAATTAAATTAGAAAACTTTGGAACACAGATGTAAACAGTACCTTTAAATAAATAAAGTTCTCACCGACGGAAAAATAAACTTAAAGAATTTGAACTTTCAGCATTCAGATTTCAAACATTTACAAATAAATGCAAAGACAGAATATTTAACAAGTGAGGCAGGAAAAAAAAAAGCGAGTGTAGGCTGTGGTTACAGTGATAGAGGCCTTGCGTGTCTTTCTTTTTGCATGTGCTTTGATTCACTCTCTTTAAGTTCAAGTAGAAAATAATTAAATATTAGAAAAGACAACATGTTTTCGGACGTTCACCATCAAGAGCAGATATTTCTATATTTGTCTCCTCGAACCCTGAGCATCCTGGTCTTAGTGGCATGGCTCTCAAGTTAAAAATCACATTGAAACTCTAGTCAAGGGACACACACACACACACGCACGCACACGCACGCACACCAGCCTAAAGTAGGTCTTTGTATCTGAAGAATGTAAAAGTATTTTAAGTATATATACAGAGGCAAAAAGTAAATTCCATTGAGCCTGGTCAGACTCTGCTCTGTCGTCTGTAAACACACACACACACACACACACACACACACACACACACACACACACACACACNACACACACACACACACACACACACACACACACACACACACACACACACACAGGAACATATCACAGATTCTGGTTTAATGTCCTTGTGATTTTTCTCGTCTGAAAGTGTCTTTGTTTTGCTTCCCCTGTCTCGTCTTCATGATGTTCGACAGCTTCATGACTCTGGCACAGACAAAAAATATTCAGAATGTAAACATGATGGTGAAAAGTATCATACGTCTTATCCAGCTCCCATCAAGAAAGTGAATAAACAAACTTCCCCAAAAATGTTGAATTTGTCCTTGAGCGGCCGCTAATCCAATAGTGTAGAGGAAACCATGGCAACAACATTTGTGTGACGTATTCAAGGCGTCAGGAACAAAAACAGATTTTAATATCCTCAGAGCTGTGACATAGAATTAACTGATGAATCAACGTCCACATGAAACTGTCGAAGTTTACTGTTCACTACAAGTATGTTATTCAGATGTTGATGATGCTGCATGATGCTAAATGATGCTAAATGACGAGGGAGGCACCGTCCCCACTTACCTGCAGTGTCGGCTTCTTCAGCCAGGGGGTCAGAGGTCGTTATGTACTTGCTGCCAAATATCTGCACCAACTGGTCAAAGTACTTGCACTCCTGCTTCTCTCCTCTGAGAATACGAGACAGAATTTTAGAGTTTGCCAGGAGGGGGTCGCAAATTATGACGAAAACAGGAACAATATAATATAGATGTTTATGTCCATAGCACAATACTGCACTGCACTCACCTTCTGCCTTCTAGGAAGTGTCGGAAATTAGCGCGCAGCCTCTTGATCCTGGTCTGGCACTGCTCTGGACTGCGGAGGTAACCTTGGCTCGCCATGACCTGAGCGATCTGGATGAAGATGTGTTTGTTCTTGGTGCAGCCCTTCAGGTTCTCCTGGATCTGCTCGCTCCCCCAGATGTCCAGCAGGGCTTCGGTCTCCCCGTCGCCCCAGGCCAGCTTAGCGCTGTCAGCCACCCACTGGTTACTGGAGGCGGCTAAAACAACAGGAATCATAGATTATGCTCATACATGGCATGTGGTTTAAATAATGATGAAGGTTATACAGAGGCATTGACTCCAAATGTGTCAATCATGCATACAATCATTTATAAAGGTATAAGCTAGCAGCATTAAATAACTTCTTCTGTACATCTACACTGGAAAAAACTGTGGTGTATCTTTTGTTCCACCTTTGTTTTGGCTCGATTCAGGTGCAATGTCGTCCGTCTCCTCTGTGGCCGATGTGTCTGCGACTGAGCCGTCGACTTTCAGCTCCTTCCTGAAGATTTCCTCCATCTCACTGAAGAACTTATATTCCTCCCTGAATGGAAAAAAAAATGAATACAAATTCCCCAGTCACCACCAGACACACAAAACAAAATTCACAGCCTATGACTCAGAGGGCAAGGCTAATCTCAAGCAAATCCCCAAAATGTCTGGTGGCTGGCTGCAGCATAGGCTCCATCTTTGCACACACAAAGTCGTGATGGCCGCACCAATAGTTTCATTTTAAACGAGTTTCATATCTAACCGCCTAAAATTGCTTCATATTTCAACATTATTCACGATGATTTAACTGATAAATAAGAATCAGTTTATCGTCTGGACTTACTTCTCATGCAGGAAGCCATGTTTGAGGCGTTTGATGCGTGTGTAGCACTGCTCCGAGGTCCTGATGAATCCTCGGTTGCCCATTTTCTCGGAGACGTACTCAAACACGTGGCGGTTTTTCAGGCAGCCCCTTAGCGTGAGCTGGACGCTGTCTTCACCCCAGATCTCCAGCAGGGTGCGCGTCTCCTGGTCCGACCAGGGCATCTTCCTGCTCAGGTCAGCCAGAAGGTGGCTGGTCGAGGGCTGCTCGTCTGAAAGGAGGAGACGACCGCTTTGTTATTGTGCATTCATCTTAAATGTACACATCTGCACAGAGACACTGTGTGTCATAAAAATGTGATGTGATTATATTTAGCCCTACACAAGTCAGGGTCCTTGTCCATAAAGGGCTGTAAGGTGACATCCGCAGCAGAACTGTCCATGTCTGCAACAACAGAGTTGTCACCAAGCACCGGAGCCAGAAGATGGAAGTATCGAAATGCTGCGGGGCGTCCTCCGCTCCTACGAGACGTGAATGAAAGGTGAGCCTGGAAGCTGTGAGCCAAGCATTCGATAATTCATTCATTTTTTATCTACCTCCGGCTGTTGCAGTACCGCCTGTAAGTCTTCTTCAGCCGTTTGATTCGGGAGTGGCACTGATCCGCTGTCCTCGGGAATCCTATTGCGGCCATTCTCTCCGATATGTTGGCGAATATGTGGCCGTTGCGTACGCAGGTTTTCAGGCTGTGCTGCACGTCATCTGCGGCCCAGACCTCAACGAGAGCGACTGTCTCCTGCTCCGTCCACACTGTGTTCACACCATCTATCCCTAAATCAGATGGAGATGAAGAAAAGACGTTGGATCAGTGATTGGATGTTTATCTAAAGGAACATTTCTTACACTGCTGAAGAAATGGATGAAAACTAATGTACCTGGCTCATGATCGGCTTGTTCTTCTCGTTCATCATACTCATCCATAGAAACCGCCTCCTGGCCCAGTATTTGTTCCAGCTGGTTGTAGAATCTGTAATCTACTCGTCTCCCACATCTTCAACGTGCGGCAAGATATAGAAAATAACATTTATCATGATGATGGATTATATCTAGAGACATATAAAAATGATAGAAAGGCTCCTCTCACTTCTTTCTGTCGTAGCACTGTCGAAAGTTGTTCCTCAAGGCCTTGACTTTCCAGCGACACTGCTCCGAGGTCTTCGAGAAACCCAGGTCCTGCATTCTCCCCGAAATGTCAGCATACACGTGTCCATTGTGGACGAACCCCCTCAGCGTCCTCTGAACATCCACCTCGCCCCAGATATTGATGAGTGTCAGCGTCTCCTCGTCTGACCACGTGCCGGACGTTGGTTTTTCTGTCGACAAGCTGATTTCTCCTTCTTTCCACAGAAACACAGCGACATTCACGGTCTTACTGCAGGACTTTTTATTTGTACTACTTCTAAAAAACTATTTCAGACAATACACGTGC